TAAACCCTTTCAGATTTACTCCTAAGCACAGCCCCTTCATTATGTAGGATGCAATTGCAATGTAGGCCCCCAGGATAAAGTTAACATGTACAAACCTGCTACCAGATAGAGGAAGGTTTGCAGAATCAAGAATTTATCTATTATTCCCATTGATTAACACCAATGGACCAAGTAATCCTGTTAAATTCATCCTGAAGATGCCTATCCACCAATTTTCTATTGTCAAGTCCTTGGTTTCAGGTTTGTAAAATTGTCTGCCCACAAAGAGCTAACTACAGGTGTGGTTTGATTATCTCTGGGAGCCATTCAAGGAAAAGCTTCATGATAGAGTGGCCATGACTTGGAGAAGCATTACCAGGGTGGCAAAAGCTGTTTCTGTGCATTACAGAATGTTTACATAGCAATGTGCCTTTTCAAGCATCCCAAATTTTTCAGGTGAAAGTATTCTGTTCAGCAAAGCTTAGCATGATCCCAGCTAACAGTTTGTTCAAGGGCTGTTGTGGGGGCTGCTTCCACTTGCAGTAACAGAGACTTCCCAGAGGAAAGAAGATAGGAGCAAGATGTGCAATTTTTTTTTTGGAGACCATTAAAAACTACATTGTTGCTACAGTACCACAGCATTTTATCTGATAATATCTTTGCAGGAGGTAGGAAGGACTGGAATAATGACTGCTTCTGCAGTTCTTCAAAAGGGATGAGAAGTTGGTAGAGGCTTACTCTTCATTCAAAAAACCAAAAAGATCTGGTTTGAACAATGCATTTTCATTTTTAATCTAAATACTCATTAGATGCAAGAGATACAATCTGCTGACCTCTCAAACTTGTTTCTTTCTAAATACAAAGGTTCAATGGCACTATGGCACTTTTGCTTAGTGTCTTTTTGCTTTTAAGTCTTGTGGCCTGGGAGTTGCAGGGAAGAGGAGCGGTAAATCTGTAAGTCAGGATACTGTGGTATGAGAAAGTAAGTGTTTGTTTAGTCCAGCCATTAAAAACCATCTATGCACAATTTTTTGTTATTACTTCTACTTCTGCCTTCTAATGTACAAGCAAATGGTGTTTGATATTGACAGTTGTTTAATGCTGCAATTAAAGGGAAACATTGTGACCCAGCATCGGGGAGGGGAAGGCAGAACTGCCATTCATCTGGATAGATATGCTTAATCATCAACTATATACTGCACTCTGATCTGTGCAACATCTGACTTCGGAGAAAATAAAAGTTCTGAAAGTTATTACAGGAAGCACAAAATACATAAAGAAATATTATCACTGAAAGTACACATTGCAAAGACGGAAAAACTAAATCAAGATCTAAGCACTCATTTCTCTTTGGCACCATTGGGAGCCACATATACATGCATACAGCACAAAATAATTTCTGAAATTAAAATAATTAAAGTTACTTAATTTTATGGAAATTGTATTACACATTCAGCTGCAATTTATAGGTTAACTTTGTGTTATTTTAGCAAAATTGAAAAGCTGGGGTTTCAATGCATCACTAGTACTTCTGCTCAGGTAGAAATGTGTACGTTTGTCTCTAATCACAATGTCTTTTAATGTTTACATTTTACCTGATAGCTTCATTCACTGCAACAGAAAGAGGAAAGTCAGCTTACTGTCTCAAAAATATGCTTCTTCAATTGGCTCTGAAAAAGTAAATAGCTTCCTTCAGAAAACTCTTACTCCTATAAAAGAAAGTGTCCCGCATTAAGATTTACACTTCTGCCTTCAGGAAATAAACTACTGAAGTGCCAGTGTTTTAAATTGTTCCCAAAGTGACACAAAGAGTTTTTCTGGTCGTGTGGGTCATGTACAAATAGACTTCTATAGAAAAGATTGTCCAATACCTAGAAAGAAAAACCAGTTGCTTTTTTTCATAGAAGAAATGAGTCTTCTGCCAGAAACTGCAGAGCTCTCCTGCCTCAAGCCCAAAGCCCGATGGCCACAATCAGCAGCTATGTGTCTGTCAGGGGAAAAAACAGTAACTGTGAAGTTCTCATTTGGGGTAGGTTCTTAAATAAAGAGGTCCAGCACAGCAAGACACGAGTTATCCATCTGAACTGGGTGAGCTGGTGTCAACATCTTTGTAATGGGGAATCTCACCAGTGGTGTGAGAGCTGCTACTCAAACAAATACAGAGGCAAGATGTAAGCCACTGGAACGAGTGCTCAAGTGCAGGAGATCACTGAAAACAGGGTCCAGATGCTCCTCTTGGCACCCTCCCAGTGACAGCCCTGTCACTCACCCGCAGAGAGCAGGGACTGAGGCTATTCCATCCTCCAAAAGGGTACTGCTTACCTTGTGGGGCGTTGGCAAGCATGGGCAAGCTGGGAAATCCTGACACTTTCCGGGGAGGAGACAGCAGGAGTTTCGCAATGCTCATTCTGCAATCCTGGTTGCATGAGGGTTTCTGTTTGTCAGGGTTTCTTTTTTTGCCATTCAAATATCTGGCCCTTACATTGAGAGCATCACTCCCAAAGTATCTGAAGAGATCATTCCCATTTAATATACCCCTTTAATATGGTAATTTCTGGTTCAAATATAAATTGAAAATTTAAAAGAGCATCACTATGTGAACTTCGTGGAATCCAGGACATTTTATTTCATAGAGGTTTAGCATTAATGCCTGTGTCACAGGAACTGCCTTTCAGGGTGAAGAGAGACTTGTTTTTGACTTGCAACTCTCTAACTAGCCCAGTCTAAATGCCAGTCTCAGTATTTTTTGCCTTGTATATCTAAAAAAAGATTTTGCAGACCAGATTGTTCTCGTGATCCCTGCGCAGCCCTGCTCCTTGCAGTCTATGTACACAGGTTTAACCAACTGAAACTTGGTAAACAGCTGCACTGAAAACCAAGCATGGGGGATGAAACCAGTTTGCTTCATTTCAGCATGCAATGATACTATTACTGAATGCTACTATTTACTGAAACAATTTAAAATGTTCATAATTTACAGATTTTAATGGCTCCCTTATCCTGAAAGCTGTCTCAAACAGGCCTTAAAGACTGAACAGATTTTGTCAACAGCCTTATCCCTTCCATTTAAGCCAAGTAAACTCCCTTATAGTCACCAGATAGAACCCTATCTTTGTGTGAAACCAGACAGGATAATTTTATCATCACTGTCTTTTGTTTTAGATATTTATTTTTTAAAATTCAATCTCTCTGAATTCTCAGATAAGATTTTACCACTTTTCTTTTCTTTTTTTTTTTTGACTGCGAAAGAAATTTTTACATCAGTCCAATTTACTGTCAGATACTGGAATATACAATTCACTGTCAAATACTGTTCCTGGGAGGAGAGGACAAGAATCCCACAACACTGTGACACAGATAAAAATCACAGGTCCTAATCATAGTCATGCTTTATGTCTACAAATTCACCAACAGACTGAAATTATGATGCAGCCTTTACCAAAATTTTTATTGAATCATATTTCAATCCTTTAAAGCAGCCATTTGTGGGAATCCAGTTGCTTTGTTCTCCAGCAACCTTTCCTTGCACTTTGCACTAGAAGTTTTAGTACTGCTAGGAGTTGGAGCCACACTTAGACTACTTTTAATAAAGTAAATGTGTTACTACACTTCACTACAACTTAACACCACGGAGCATGTACTGAGCATTAACATCATGTTGTGTGCAAGCACAGTTAGCAAACACATCACGAAAATCTCTCGCACATCACAGAGGATTTAAACATGAAGGAAGCACAGTTAGGGCCAGACACTGATAAACTTGAAGCAACAGATTCTTTTTTCTTAAAAAAAAAAATCTCTTGCATTTAGTTTAGCACACAAAACATGCTGACAATAAATCATGAATACAGACAACATGTCATTCCCTTCACACTGAGCCCTCTTCAGGATTATTTGACAGTTGCCTGGGGTGCACAAAGTACTTTTTGAGGAGTCACGATAGGTACTTTTATAAAGACACATCCAGACCAGTAAAGCATACATGGAGGATTGTTCCTGCATGAATGAGTCACTTTCCACTGGCTGGCAGAAACTTTCAGTCACTGAACACAATTGAAACAATTATTTGAATCTATTCATCTTCACCTCTCTGAGTGGCATATGCATACTAGGAACTTAAATCCTGGTATTTTTTCTGTGTCTACTGCCCATGTTCCATGTTCCAAGGAACATGGAAATAATCTTGAAAAAATTAATCACTTTGCCTATTTTTGCTAAGCTTGGTCAAAAATAAGCAAGTATTTTTCAGCATGAGTCACTACCCACATCCCCGTCGCAATAATTGGATTACACATTTTCATTAAAATCTCCGACTCTTGTTCCTGCTCTTCATCTAGAAGATGAGCAGAAGCCAGGTTTGAGTTTTATTGGAAGACAAAGAAGTTTTCAAATGCAATTATGCATTAATTTTGTTTATTTGAAGACACAACAAAATCCAAACAACTAGCTAATCAAGCGTGAGTTAATCAACCTGTGCTCTAGATGACACCATTCAGCCAACTACAGTCGATAAAAGCAAACTGCAAAACAACAGGGTTAACTCCTGTTCCTGCTTCCAGGGAGACAAGCTTTGGCAAACCCTATAACCCAGCACCATAACCCTTCTGCCTCCCAAGGCTGGGAAAATGAAAGTGGAGAACGGTACCTGGGAGAAGCTGGTGTGCTCCCGTGGGTGCTGGCTAGCGTGGGGCTCTCGCTGCCTGCCTGCCTGCCTGGGCAGCCCTGTGCTTCCACCACCTCGTCTGCCTGCTCTGGTCAATGTTTTACCAGGCTCTGTCCCACCCTCCTGGCAAACATCTGTGGGAGAAGGCAGTGCCGGGGCCACGGAGGCAGAGCCAGCGTTGGAAAGGTCGCTCCTCTTCTACCTGCCCTGTTCTCCACAGGGAAAAACAAAGCACTCAAGAAAAGGGAAACCTGCTAAGAGGGGGATCAAGGGAATGCATGTCATGAAGGGTAAAAAAAAAAAAAGGTAGACAAGTGGTGCTATTAATAGATAATTTGTGGCAGGTAAGTCATGATAACCTTTCTCTGTATTGTTCTAAGGTTGCAGGCAAGCCTAGGCGTGCCTTGCTGAGAGCTGAGAGGGAATGCTTAATTCTGTGGGAGTACATAAATTTCCAAGTAAATCTTTGGCGTAAGAGAGCGCTCATTCAAATGACAACTAAAACTCCAAAATCATGAAAAAAAGACCTGAACTGCAAAATAATGCAAAGGGAGCCTAAACACGGAGACAGGGGAAAGAAATGGCCAAAGCAATCGGCAGCACCTTGCTCTACTCCTGTGTCTTGGGTTTTCAGGAGTGCCTCAGAGTTAAAGCCCTACCTGTTCTAAACAGAGGTTTCCTGTTCTCAGGAAGTTAACAATTACAAGCAGAGGGCAGACGAAATGGGCTGGGAACTGAGCACAGCACTGATAAGGTGACACTGCTGCTCCCTGAGGAGGAAAGTGTAGCTGCTGAACTTGGGAAGCACCCAAAGGCTGGCACTCAACATGGAGTGGCTGCTCCCAACGTGGGGGACATTTTCTGGATCTGGTACACAGGTGTTTGCTCATGGAGGAACACTGGGGAAATCTAGGGTACGTTGTGTGTTCCAGTTTTGTGATACTGCCTTGTCTGTCACGGGATTTCAATCCTGGTTTGGGGAAGAGCAATTAATTTTGTCTAATTTGGACCCCAAACTTGAACAGTATGCATTTTAATGTACAGGTTAAGGAGAAAATCTACGCCACAGCAGCTCCAGCTAGTCAGATTAGTTGCTAAGACCTGCTACATGGTGCAACAATGATCATTGTAATGGGGTCCGTGTGATGGAGTTGCTGCTGATCTGGATCCTGTATAGTCTTACACAGGGTTGGGGATGTCCATACCCAGTGATGTTGGGCTGAGGGACACCAGCTGAGTCCAGCCAGGTTGGAGAGGCACTCTCTGCCTGCTGGGTGCACTGCTGTGTGTTCACAGGTGGCCAGCAGCACAGCTCCATCCAGCCCAACAGCTTGCGAGCACAGGTGACACCGTTGCTTCAGCAATGGGTTGTGGCTTGATTGCGAGCGGATGTGTCACTGCAATCGGGAGCACCTTCCCCGAGCCAGGATTCCCCAGGACCCAGGGCAAGCCTGCAGGGGCTGATGCATGGGCACTTGCTGCAGCAACACAGGCCCTGTGGCTACAGCCTATACCACATGCCCAGTGTGCCAGCACACAAAAGTCTGCTCAGCTCTCCAAGGTCCCCACTTGTTCTGTGTGTTTTCAGGTGTGTTGCTCCCTCCTGCCGGTCTGCATTCACTTCCCCTCCCCTTTTGTCTGGGAAAGGAGAGGCAGAAGGGGAATGTCTCATGCACTTGGTACTGTGCCACCATGGCAGCAGCCTGCAGCTGCCTGCTAGGATGGCTCTTTACTGGGAATGGGCAGGATGCTGGCATGATTAGAAAAGGCATATGGACTTCCTTACAGCTGCTAGACACAATCCTGCTTCTGTAGGACAACCTGCAAGACTGATAAATATCTTTTGCATAAACCTCCTGAATTCTCAACATTAATTGTTACACCCGCTGGATGAAAATCCTTCACAGCTGCTTTACAGCGTCTGCTCCCAGCCTGTGAGGAAAAGTGTGATAATTGTGCAGGGGAGGGAGAGACCCCACTTTTTCTGCAGTTTCTCAGGCTTGTAAGCCACACCATGTCAGCCTCTTTGTGCCTTGCTGATACCCCAGTAGAAGTAAGAACACCCTGCCATTCCACAGAGCTGCTTGGAGTATTAGCTGCGGCTATCACCTCTGAGACCCCTCAGGCAGAAGGAGGGGATTTATCTGAAAGATCTTATCTAGGCTTAAGACCCTGCCTAACCAGAATCAGGGAGCAGGAACTTCTCACGGCAGTCTTGCTCCACCTGGTAACCAATGCTGCTCTCAGAGAGGTGCACTAGATAGGCAAGGGGGAGGTCCAGCCAAGCTGTTTCTCTCTTCACTTTGGATAAGAAGCCCATTCAAGATGTCTCAGATTTTCCCAAGAAAGCCTGATTGGAAAAGATCATGTTTATGTGAAAAGATTTGTTTTCTCTTTTTTTTTTTTTTTTTCCTTGTCAGTTTGATGTTTCCTGGTTGCAGTAGCATTTCAGCAGAAGATCTGGAGGAGACCTGGCCATACATCTTCATCAGATATAGCTTTTGTCACTGATGTGTTCCATGGTCTGGGCTTTGGCAAGTAGAAAACTGAGGCTGCAGTGGTAAGATTTGGAAGTAGAAGAGTAGCACACTGATACTTGGGTTATGGAGCTAGCTCAAACTTAGTTTGCCTGGCAGCATAGACAAGGTTACTGACTATTACAGGGAGGTCATACATACTCAATTTTCCACAGTGCTAACACTTCTAAAAATCATGTTAGCCTGGTACAAGCCTAAGAGAGTCAAATAGTGTGTAGTATTGACACTCGGAGGCCAGAAGACTTTGAAGAAACTCGGTTATCAGTTTTAACTGCCACAGAAAAATGATGTCTCTGCTACAGCACATCTAAAGTTGTATCATGTCCTCCTGGGCAAATAGAGCCGTGGGAAATTTGGTGGGTCCTTCCCCCAAATCTGCCCTTGCAGATTAGCTGATGTAAAGCAACAGAAACCAGACCTTTCTTTTTCATTGTTGCACAAGAAATAAAAAAACTGCCTTCCCTGTATAGCCATCACCTTGAGAAAGTTCATCCTATTATTCACACATTTTCCTCTCACAGAGATGAAGTTTCTACAGGTTCAGAGAGAGGTGGATGCTTCTGAGGAGGCCAAGCATGCCCTGGTATCACAAAAGTGTGACATACAGTGTGCTGCACTGCAGATCACTGGGGCTGGGCTTCTGATTAACACACAGCTCACAGAAGGGACTGGGGCCCGTGGAGACTTGGCATTTCAGTCGCTTTTCAGCACTCAACCTTTGCCACAGAGCACAGGTTTCAAGGGCAATGTAACACTTGCATATTTACCTACTGTGAATGGAGGAGGTGCCAGGTTGGACAGCTTACAGACTGTAAAGTCAAACATTAATTTAATACAGACATCTTATAACTTCATACTGGCTTGGGAGCAACTAATACATAGGGATATTAAAAGTGAGAAAGCACCTAAAATTCACAAAACTCTTTCAATGAAGCACCAATTTACTTACAAATTGTTAACAACCTTGACAACACAGAGACCAAACAATAAAACTAAAATATGGGTATCAAGTAACAGAGGGGAAATTTCTGTGAATCTTAAATAAGTTTTAATTTTGTTCCAGTTCTCTTTCAACAGATGCATTTTTATTTCATCCTGCAGGGCAACACTTATTTTGGAAAAGGGTACAGGCAGATCCATAGGGGCTACTGCAGAGGCTTTGAAAACTTTCCATTCCCAGTAAAGAGCCTGCATCTGAGCACATGGGGCTATTAGGAATATGTTTAGACTCATCCCTAAGCAACGTGTCGAAACCACCTCCCCAGGAAATACTGGTACAGCACTGATCTCCTCCGACAGGAGCTACATCCCCTTCTCTGGAGCAGAAGGACTAGCAACTACCTGCTGCTAAAAAACAGGTGGGAGGGGAAAAATAATTGCTGTGAGCTGTAGAAGATCTTTATCACAGTAAAACAGAAGGGACCTGAAGTATGAATTGAGAATGCTCTTTCAACAGTGGCCTGAATGCTGGATGTGAGGACACCTCTCCAGCTGTGGGTTTGACTGGGTGTCTGGGCTTTTGGAAATCCTACCTGGACATGCCAGCAGTGCAAGATCTACAGTCTTGCCATACCTACTCATCCTTTTGGTCCATAATTTAGTATCTTGTGCTGAGCTTTCGGAGCAAAATGCCCTGTAGATATTAATCTGTTGGAGAATGAGTCCTCAGCACTTGACAAAGTACTCCTCTGGATGATAAAAGAGACAGTAAGGAAACAGAAACATTGCTGCTAGCTGATCCTAGAGCTGTTTGGCTTGTGGTTTCACTGGATAGGAGTTTCAGTCAACACTATTCCCTTAGAGGGAGCAGACCTTACAATATACACAAGATGTGTAAGAAAACTTGCTCGTGATTCACACAGAAACCAAATGTTGATGGGAAGGAACATTTGCAAGCAGTTTCTGTAGAGCTCCTAACAAAGAATGGGCAAGACTGATACAAAATCATATGTCAGGCTTGAAAACACCCTACAAAAACAGGCTTTTTTCCAAAAAACAAGCCAAAATACCCCTCCTTTCTTGTTTACTTCCTTATTTGCAGCTTTTTTTTTTTCCAAAAATAGTATTACAAAACATTATCATCCAAAGCTTTCAGGGAGTATTGCCTATTTTTACTCCATCTTGTTTTGTAAGACCATACTACATTAGTGATTTGGCAACTTCACACCGTGGACAAGTATTTCAAAATATTCCCTTCTCTGAACACACAGCTGTTAAACCACTTTTACATGTATTGCTGCATTTTGTGGTGCCACCCACAGTCACTCTTAGGAAAGGATCTGGGAAACTTGATGTTTTAAAATCAGAGATGCACATACCCCATGGGTTCGGTTTTAATGCAAAAGTCTCTCAGCTAAGCTGCTTCTGGAATTTGCTGATGGGGCAATTTTATGTAAACAGGGAGAATTTCAGGCTCAGGCTTTGGTGGCGTTGATTTAGTCAGGATCCTCAGTGGACAGCTGGGAGGGGAATTTGTGGTCTGGATACTTTAACAACGATGTTCTCATCTTATCCCTGGACCCTTGTATCCAGTTGTGGAGACCAGCTGCAGAGGAGCAAATGGGCAGGTCTGGAGGAGGCGCCTTCAGGAGCACCTGTGGCACCAGGACTGCCTGGCAGGCACACCTGCCCTGGCAGCCACTGGGATGGCACTGGCTGCAGGTATGTCTATGGGGCATTGGTGTGTAGGGACCGTGATATTAATTTACTTATTATCTATTATCTGTCCTTATGTTAAGACACATTAGGTTTTAAAATGCTCTGTAAGAGCTGACTGGACATGTGAAGCTCTAGAAAGTTAGAATTTCTAATAAAAGAGAATACATGTGTTGCCAGCAATACCTTAATTCTGCTTTATTGGGCATTAACATTGGAACTGGAGCTAGCCTGTAGCCATTTTAGCACTGAGCATTCTTCTTACACTGTTCTTAGCACCTTACGTTAAATTTGGGCAAATATTTGCTCTCAGATTCAGTTCCTAACATTTGATGACCTGAAGCACCCTCATTAGACTCCACAGGTGCAGTTAGTTGCCTTGAATTAACCCCAGGAGACAAATAATGTTTCTAATTTAAAATAACACTTAAGAAGATAGTACATACAGAGATTTTATAGCTGAATGGAAAAGAATGGGGCTGAATCAGGCTTTCCAGAGCATACTGCCAAGATGATGAATGAAATATTTTTATTCTTATTTGCTTTACTCAAAATCTCAGAGGAGTTATTGATACAGATCTCTGTGAGGCCAGTTCCTAAGGACTGTACTTACGTATTTGGAAGCTATTATTTACTTAATTATTTCCGTGCAGCCCAAAACATCCCAGAGCTTCACTACATAGATGCCTTTTACAGCACATTCACCTCATCATCAAATTCAAGGCACAAGAAAAAACATTTGTAGGTGGGTGGGATGAAGATCTGAAGGCTGGACCCACACAGTGGGCCTCTTGCTTTGTGGTTTTCCTATCATCTGCCTGTAAGAGGTGCCTGGCTGCCTCTCACTTCTCTCTTTTGGTGGAACCCAATGAAGAGCTCCTGCCTAGAAATAGCAGAATGGCTAACACACAGCTGGAGATAGATGGGGTACCACACAAACACGAGTTAGTTGAGGATGCCAAGGATAGAGTGACTGGCTTGGTAATGGTTTGAAAGGAAGTTAAGAGAAAATCACAGAGATTAGCGGACAAGGTTCAAGAGGAACAGGATATTGGGAGCTGCTTACATGGTGAGTGATAGATGCAGAGGAAGGTGGGATAGAGCTGGAAGGCATCTTGAAGGTAGAAGAGATAAGAGGAAATCCACAGTTTCTGAAGGGAAAAAAAATAGGATGGGGCAACCCAGCTGCAAGAGTGAAATATGTTGTTTTGGGGGGACAGCTGATGAGACATAGCAATGCTTGTGAGAAGGGAGAAACTGAGAGCTGAATTGGAAAGAGGAAGCAGTAAATACAGGATGTGCAGATGATGGCTCTGAAGGAGTGCCTGTGAGTCAGGTAAAATAATAGTGTACTAGAAGAACATAACCGAAAGGACATCTAGTCCCCGGGTGAAGGAAGAATTGGTGGGTAATGTGCTTTCGAGACACGCATCTGGCACCACTGTACAGGGTGCTGGAAGCCACACTGTTCATAAGTTGAAGAAATGGAGTCCATCTATAGAGAGAAATGGAAAAGGGTCGGAGGAGGCAGTGCAACAGAGCCCAACCACATTAAAACAGGGATATTAGGGACAAAATTCCCTGTGTGGTGGAGCTGGAAGGTTGCAAACTATTCAAGAGAGACTGGTTGGAAAACCAAAGTGATGAGCACTCAGGGGTTTAAAGATCAGAAAATAAACTGCCTATGGGGATCTGATCAGTTAGGGAGCATTTTTGTGACCAGGATGAAGTCTTGCTTCACTTTCATAAAGTCAGGCAAAGCAGAGAGGCTGAGAAGGTAGAAGTCTAACAGGGACCTGGGACATTGAATGACGGTCATTGTGCTGAGAAATCAAAGATCTTCAAGGAAGCTGGAGAGAGCCTGAGGTGCAAAATTTTGTGAGGAAAACAAGGGGGAGGAAAGAGGCAATTCTGGGTGCAAGCTGCAGGGACCTGAGCTTGTTAACCCTTGCAGACAATCGGTGGTGCAGTGTCAGAAACAGGCGGGCACTGTCGCTGAGGCTGCTGCTGCTGGGGATGGGCCACTGCCAAGGCAGCAGGGAGGGCAGGTCTGCCTGCTGCCAGGGTGAAAGGAGGAGCAGGAACTGGAGGGGTAACAGTTGAGGAAGAAAAATGTAAAATGAATCATTTTCCTGTTTATGATAAAAATACCCTCAAGCAGATTTTCATAGTATTTAAAAATACTCATATAAAACGTGCCTGGGAGAACCAGCAATGCCCTCTCTACAATAGCTACATCACATGTGCAAACAAAATATGTTGTTAAACTTGTTTGGTTTTTTTCCTATGTAAGGACTAAAACCAGATATCATTTACTCCTATGCACAAACAACCAGTAATGATTTATGCTTGTGGAGTTCCCATCTATTGTACGAAATTTGGAGCGCTGAGTAACACAATGTTCTGTACCAGAAAACTGCAGCATTTAGCTGGTCTGTCAGTTCCCCAGAGTAATTTTATGGTATTTCTATTTTTTAAATCTTCCAGTAACAGTGAAAGTGGATTTGCTTTTCCATGCAAAGAAATTATTTAAGAGCAAGTTTGTAATGCCTACTCTGACAAGCACATTGTTGCATTTTCTAAGCTCAGACCTTCAGTTTGGCTGTCCTGAGGCAAACAGCATGGCTAGTGAGAAAATCATGATTCAAACTCCCAAATTACAAAATTCATGTTGTTCCTGCTTAAGATTTTAGAATTTAAAAACTTTTCACCAGAATATGCAAAATTCACTTTATAATATTTCATCTTAGGCAGATGATGTATTTTGAGAGCTGATATACAGAACCCTGCTCTACTTACTACTATGAAATCAGGAGCCATTCTATACATGTATTTCAGTGAAAAATGTGCTATCTACTTATAAGCACAGTCACAGATATTTGTGGTTGGCTGGGTCTCAGTCTAGCTTAGCTGCAGGCTACAATTCAGATTTGAGGTTTGGACTTAATTTATATTAGAACTGGAATTACACATTGTGCTCTCAGTAATCTTTACACAAGATGGAGGGACTCTCAGGACCAGCTTGTTCTTGCAAGTCTTCTGCTTAGGACAAACCTTCTCAGAGGATACCAGTTTGCATTTGAGTTTAGTTTCATCTGTATTATGGCAAGATCTTACGATACTAGAATTATAGAATTATAGAATTATAGAATGATTAGTGTTGGAAGGGACCTTTAAAGGACATCAAGTCCAGCCCCTTCAGTGAACAGATACATCAACTTGATCAGGTTAGTCAGATTCCTGTTCAGTCTTAACTTGAACACTTGCAGGGGTGATGCATCTAACATCTCTCTGTTAACATGTTCCAGCATTTTACCACCACCATCATAAAAATTGTCTTCTTTATATCTACTCTGCATATTTTATCTGTAGATATGGATATATCTATTTACCCTCTTTAAAACCATTTCCCTTGTCCTATTGCAACAGACCCTTCTAAAAATCTGCCCACATCTTACTCTCTTTAGATACTGGAAGGTGCTATAAGACCTCCTCAGAGCCTTTTCTTCTCCTGGCTCAAAAACCTGAACTCTCAGATTTTCCTCATAGGAGAGGTGATCCAGCCCTCTGATCATTTTCATGGCCTTCCTCTGGACTTGCTCCAAAAGGTTCATGTCCTTCCTGTGCTGAGACCTCAACTGAGAGCTGAACGCAGCACTCCAGGTGTGGTTTCACAGAAGTGGAATGGAGAGGGAGAATCACCTCCCTTGGCCTGTTG